TTTAGTTCAAAGTGAATCTGGTATTTTGGATTGGGCATAAGCATGCATGTCATTACTCCTGGCAACTTCTAAAAGGAGGCAAAGATCACATCCACCCAGCAAAAACAATTATTAGTAGAAGGGAAAAAGTGAATATTATCCATTTGAAGCAGTCAAATGAGGTGCTTAATGAAAGAGCCAATCAATTATTTATATTGAGAGTTTTACCTGAGACTAAGATGAGTATTACTTATCTCAATTTTTCAGTTATCAGGTTAGGATATCAGATCAGTTTCCTCAACTGATATTTATCATTCAGCAGTAATTGTTCCTTGAAGTATCTCATAATTACCAGATATATTTGAAGCCGAGCATGGTTGTTTCTGACCTGCATCATCATCATCATCTTCATCATCGTCGTAGTCGGAAGAGACCTTGGAGGTAGTGGTGAAATCCAATTTTTTTTTACTACCGGTTCTGTCGGCGTGGCCTGGTGGGCGTGGTGCGGCCTGGTGGGCGTGGCTTGATGGGCATGGCAGGGGAAGGATACTGCAAAATCTTCATTCCGACCCTACTCTGGGGCCAGCCAGAGGTAGTATTTGCTGGTTCTCCGAACTACTCAAAATTTCCACTACCAGTTCTCCAAACTGCTCAAAATTTCTGCTACCAGTTCTCCAGAACCTGTCAGAACCTGCTGGATTTCACCCCTTCTTGGAGGTCTTCTAGTCCATCCCCCTGCTCAAGCAGGAGACCTTATACCAGTCATTTCAGACCAGTGGTCGTCCAATCTCGTCTTAAAAGCCACCTACAACAACACCCACAACTCCTGAAGGCAAGCCATTCCACTGATTAATTGTTTCTCACTGTCAGGAAATGTCTCCTTAGTCCTAGGTTGGTTCTCTTCTTGATTAGTTTCGATCCATTGTTTCTTGTTTCGTCTTCAGGTGCTTCAGAGAATAGGTTGACACCCACCCACCCCCCGTCTTCTTTGTGGCAGCCCCTCAAATATTGGCACACCGCTATCATGCCACCTCTAGTCCTTCTTTTCACTAGACTAAATATAACTAATTCCTGCATCAGTTCTTCATATGTTTGAGCCTCCAGTCCCCTATTCATCTTAATTATTGGAATCATTCTGATTCCATTCAAAATGGATATGGTGGACAATGATGTGAAATCTCATTCTTCATTTTGCTTTTATAATATTGTAGATACGATAGAGTAAATTTTCTGCAATCTTTTCATCATTCAGCTTTTATTTATCTCATTTGTCAAATTTAAAAACTGTACAGCTCGCTTGTACTCATCCACCTTGAATTGAAGATTTAGAGCTTATTTCACCTTCAAAGAATTAAAGCAGCTCTTCCCTCAGTAATGACACAAGTAGTTTGCATTAGTTTCACAAGATTTCTGTCTGTAAGTATGGAACAATAAAAGAAAACTGCTTAGAAGAAACCTCTGCATGTCTTTCTTGGATTTTGGAGTCTGACAACAGCCCTGTCGCAGCTACAACTTCCCCAAATTTCATTCTCTCAGGAGTCATGGGTCCTAGATTCTGGATGCATTTTGTAAATTAGCCCATTTGGAGTTCCTTGGTTCAAAATTTGCTGCCCTGTGATGCACCGTTTTGCCTAGTTAAAGATCATGACAATGTGGGTTTTAGTAGCACTGTATATAGATTGCCTTCTACATGAAATAGTATAGCATAGATATAACTCACTCTTGTTTATCAATACTAGTAAAAAATGGAATGTGATTTGTAATATCTGTAGCTACATCAGCTTTAGTAATGGAAGAAACATCACTAGAAATTGCACTGCGATCAATGCAATATAAAAAATGAAACCTAAAGCTTCCCTCTTGAAAGCTGAATTGAATTTTGATTTAAATGTGACACCTCTCTAATAATCCTTCTTTTAAAATCTCATTGGGATTCCATTTGGGAAGCACATTTAGTTACGTTACCAACACTACATGTGGCCACGAGAAACCGCTTGACAGCAGAAGCAATGGAAGATGTGAAATGCTCTCATTGGTGAAGACTCACCAACACAGAGGTAGATGCTTCAATAACAAATAGATCTCTGGTTTCTCTTGCAGCCCAAGTTAACATTGCAATAGAAGGCTACCGTATTTTTCGGAGTATAAGACACACCTTTTCCCCCCAAAAAAGAGGGTGAAAATCTGGGTGTGTCTTATACTCCGAATGTAGCCCCTCCCATCTTCTCAAACGGAGGTTTCAGAGGGTGAAAAAAACATCAGAAACGAAGCTTCAGAAAAGAAGCCCCCTAAACAGAGCTTCAGAAAAAAAAAGCCTCCAAACAGAACTTCAGAAAAGAAGCCCCCAAACAGAGCTTCAGAGGTTTTTCTGAAGCTCTGAGGCTTTCAGAGGCAGAAAAAAAAGTTTTTCTGAAACAGAGTTTCAGAAGTTTCAGAGGCAGAAAAAAAAGTAAAAAAAGAAAAAAGAAAAAAGCAAGGCACAGAGCTCACAACCAAGGAACCTGTTGCTAAAATTCACCTCTGGGAACAGCTGATTGGGAGTATTCCGGGAGGCCAATCTATCTGCACATTCAGCTTTTTTCTTATTTTTCTTATTTTCCTCCCCAAAAACTAAGGTACACTCTTACACTCTGAAAAATACAGTATGTTTGAGCATGTCCATAGCAGCCTAAAGGGGCTAAGACAAAGTGGGCAGATCCCAATTCCTCACTGTGTCATCAACCACCTTGTCCATGAAGCATGCCAGATCCTTCCCATGACAAACCTAGCACTGGAAGGACCCTTCTTTGCATTGGGAACAGCTGTAGACTAGTAGGAAACAAAGGCAACATAGTCAGGGTGTAACAAAGAAATTATTAAAGGTTTACATTCATGCCAGGGCTAGGGGGTTGTGAACGTGAGTTGAAAAATCATCAAAATAATAAGAATAATATGGTGTGCACATATTTTTCTGTGGAAAGTTTAGTTATATTAGTGCGCAGCTTAAGAAAATTAAAGGCCTTGGGCCAAAAAAGATGGAGTAGTATAAGAATGCTTAGGAATGGTTTGTATGCTTGATTTGTTTTACAGTGATGCTGGTCTTTAGTTTTGATTGGATTGTTTTACTGAAACATGAAGGGCATTTAGAAGGCAGGAAAGAGAATAGGATGCATTTCCAGCAATATGCCCAACAGCTAAAGCTGAATGTCAGGAGTAAATTACAACAACTTGCATTGATGATGACAATACATTATAATTCATAGCCTAGCCAAATATACCCAAAGTTTCCTTGCTGTTCTAAGAAAGTGCTTTTTTTAACATTTGCTGCTTAGGCTAATATTATATTTGTTCAAAAAAGAGAATAGGAATCCTATCCCACATATTTAGCAAACCAATGCAGACAAGCATTCCTAGAATGAAATATCATAGATATGTTATAATTAATTTAAGTATCTGCCCTTCATTGACATTCAATATGGGGTGCAATCATTTATTTATGGCTAAGGTAAATCATCATACCTTTATTTTGCTGTCCTCTGGAATAACCAATAACTCTTTAAAATGACATTCAGCTATTGCTTTGAAACTCACTGAGGTTTAGTAAAAAAATTCTGATAATTAATAGGTATCCTGGTCCTTCCAATGCTGTTTACCGTCAGTGGTTCCTTAAAGATGAACGGATCATAGTCACAGCGCAGGTACTGTAGCTAAATTCTGATCCTTTCTCCTTCCAGACCAAGAAAAAGTGTGATGAACTGAGGTAACAGTTCCTAGTGAAGAAATCTGTTCCAAATAAAACTGTGACACAAGATGGGGAAACCCATCACACTGCATCAAACCATCTACAAACCCAGCCCACTTAGTTTATGAATGCCAATCTCCTATGGAGCATTTACTTGCAAGTCCCAGCATTTAGCTGTTTATTATTGTATATTTATTTTTACTCAACAAATTAGAGTTGTAAACTAGAGGACTCTCTGGAGTCTACTTTACACCTAGCAAACCATGTAAGCCCTTGTTATTTTGTGACCTTGTGACAAATACTTGGTTTTGATATAACGAAGCATAGATTTAAAATATTTTAAGCCGTTTGAAAATCTGAAATTTGAAAACTGAAACCACTGTCATTTCTGGTGAACATAGACTGAAATCTGTTTTTAGTGCAACCCCATTTGTTAAAAGTCATATTTTAATTATCTGGATGTTGCATCTCCTTGTGATAGTCTGTTCTTTTCTTTGAGACCTTCCACAGTTTAGATTACATGGAAATGCAGAGGATTTTTGCTTGTAAGAGTAAGGAATTTGTTTGGTACATTTGGAATTTTTAATAGTAGACTTTGAACGTTGTTATAAATGGACTGTCTTAGAGGAGAACCACTTATCTATCCACAAAATGGCTAGTTTTGAGCACTTACAAAATGTTTGTTTATTGGACCAAGTAGCAATTAATAAGAAAGGCTGAATGCCAAAGAATTCAGGCCTTTGAACCAGTTGCCTGATTGGCAGAGCCTTTTAAAACTATGTTTTTAACAACCTCTTCGGCCGAAGAGGTTGTAGAAAAAATGGTTTTAAAAGTTAAAAAAAAAAAAAGTTGGCCACGCCCACCCAGTAATTACCCACCACCACCAAGCCCCGCCCAGAGAACCAGTAGTAACAAATTTTACATTTCACCACTGCTTTGAACTATAGTTCTGGAGAAGACTCCTGTGAGTCCCTTGGACTGCAAGCTCATCAAACTGGTCAGTCCTAGAGAAGATCAATCCTGACTGCTCTTTAGAAGGCCAGATCCTGAAGATGAAACTCAAATACTTTGGCAACCTAATGAGAAGGAAGGACTCACTGGAGAAGAGCCTAATGTTGGGAAAGATTGAGGGCAAAAGAAGAAGAGGATGACAGAGAATGAGGTGACTGGATGGAATCACTGAAGCAGTAGGCGTGAGCTTAAATTGACTCCAGAGGATGGTAGAAGACAGGAAGGCCTGGAGGAACATTGTTGTTCTGCCCCAGCTACGGAACCCAAGAAATGTAGCACACACAAAAACTCTGAACAACTCCGTTTACTACAAACACAGTCTTTTTCAAATGCAGGCTATTACTAAAAATGTCCTTAACAGCCTGCCAGAAATTCCAAAGATTAGATAAAGGCTTACAAGAGTTGGCAATTAGCCCAGAAACCAGGTTTGCAAGGAAACTTCACTCTCAAATGCTCAACGAACGACCAGACAAACAAACGTTGTTTCCTGCAATGTTTGCCAGCTGTGTGCAAACTTAAATAGGCTAAGGGAGTGACCAATTAGCCCCAAGCCTTACTCTTGAGGAGACCTCCTCCTGAGTAACCACTCCTGCCTTTTGGCAGCTCTGCATGCTCGTGCATTGAGAAGAGGCTCCTCCACTTCACTCTCTTCACTTGAAGGGGCCTCTGGAGGATCTGAAGGCCCTGGCTGAATCTCTGCCTCTGGCACCACATCTTCTTCAGCCTCCTCGTTGTCTGACGCGAGCGCCGGCTGCACAGGCTGCTGGCGCGACACCACACCAGCCTCCTCCTCATCAGGATAAGCCATAATCTGCGCAGGCCACTGGTGGGCCACAACAATTGTCCATGGGGTCGCGATGGGTTGGACACGACTTCACAACTAACAACAAAAAGCAATTAATGGCACATTCTTGCAATAAAGGCAATGGCAGATGTTTGTCCCACATTACCTGTTCTTGTTTAAAGGTTGTGAATCTAATTTTGGAACTAAAATCTCCTTTGTCCCTTATCTTCTCAGGGTAAAAGATAAATGTGACATAATCGGAAGTGCTTAGTCACTCAATACATTCCAAATATCCTTTTCCTTTCTGGTGAAGAGAAAGGAAACATTTTTGATTACAACTCCCAAACTGCACCATATTGGCTATATTTCATAAAACTGAACCCCTGCAGTACAATATTTACTGTACAAGCTGGTTGCCTACTTCTATTTATTGGAGAATGGTGAAAATTAATCATCAGTGAAAAGCTTGTAGAAATTTGAATACCTATTGTAAATTTTTTAGCTGCTTTGCGGAAAGTGCTATTTTATTTTATTTTTTGAGATTTTGCTTTGAATTAACCAAATCTGATATAGGAATGCTGCATTGTTCTGTCCTACTGAGCATCCCAAATGGTGGATAATCTTATTATTCGTCTGTAATTTTCAACAAGTAATCAATCAGTCCTACTGTAACTTCTGCACAGGGATGCTGGTAAAAAATTCCAGAACATAATTCAGTACTAGGTTTGTACATTAATAACTGTGTGCCCCAAATATGGAATGCTTCCTGGCCCAATTTATAGGTCAAGAAGTTTACACTGCTTCATACTTAATGTGGGTACAAAGTCAACAGTCCCATTATGATCTTGACTGTAATTCAGCAGCATTGAAGAGAAAAAAAATCCTGCTAAAAAGAAAACGCATAAAGCCATAGCCTTGCCTCATTTGGCTGCTTAAAGTTTAATGTTTTACATGAAATAAGATAAGGCTTCATAAAATCTCTGTTAAACCTCTTAACCCAGTACCTAGAAGCTATTACAACATAGATAGAACACAATAATTTATCTTCCTGGTTATTACCAACTGTCCTGCTTTTTGACTCTTCATCTATCTAATGAAGGTCAGTATGCTCTGAATTTATATCTTCAATCATAGAAGTCAAACAACCTCACTCTTTAAAAGTCCCCTCAAGGGTTATTCGGCAGGTGGGTGTTGCTTCCAGTTAGTAAGAACATATAACTTCCTGAACTGCAAGACAAGTATAACTGGATTATGGAAGGCAGATGTGGATCATAGGTTTCTTCCCTTTCCCTCATTCACTGTTATCACTCTTAGCAAAATGTACTTTGGTTTGTTGTTTAACATCTATAGAAAGGTCATGCAGCAACATAGGATGTGATATCAATATGCCGATGATATTCAATTATATGTCTCACAGGCTGCTGTTCTGGTGATGGCTCAGTGCCTGGAGGATGTAAGTCTCTGGATGAAAGCTACATCTCAACCCTAGCAAGATAGAGTAGCAGTGATGCTTCCCCTGGGATCAGGAGAGTTCACTTCTTTGACTCTGGATGGAGTAACACTCTCCAGGAACGGAACTGGTACCCACTTTGGGGAGCCTTTTGTAGCTCATACTAGAACAGATGGAAGCCGTGGCGATGGAGACTTTGTACAGATTTCCTCTTGTGGGAGGCCTTGCTCACAATCAATCATGACATAGTTGTATTCTATTTGGATTACTACAATGTGCTCTACATGGGGCTGCCCTTGAAGATCATCCAGAATGCACTGACGTGCCACACTACTTCATTGCTATTTGAGTTGCACTGGCTTCCGGATGCTTTCTGGATGCAATTCAAGGTGCTGGTCATCACTTTTAAAACCCCACATGGAACAGGCCTAGGTTGTTTACCTAGGTATCCTGAGGGGTATCTGCCCATCCCACCAAATTGGGTAGGGTAGGCACTTGGGGAAGTCCTCTCTCTTAAATACAGTTGCCTGAGTTACCTTGGCGGTAATTCAGTTACCGTGGAGGTAACTCATTAACCTGTGAGGTGCACTCTTTTGCACTTTTTTTTGGTGGTCACCCCAATCCTTTGGAACTGCCTCCCATCTGAGATCCAAGGGTCCCCTGCCCCTTTAGCCTTCAAGAAGACCATCCAACTCTTCCCCCAAGCATTGAGCTAGGTGTGAGAGTTGAGCTGTTTGGTCTGGCACTTGGGGGAAAGGATGGTTTTATTTTGATTTCTGCTTTTATTGATTGTTGTGAGGTACAACTAGGGTCAGTATATGAGTTAAGTGGCCATATAAGTTCAGATAATAAAACCAACAACAATGCAACCTATCAAGTGTACTTGTACCAAACTTCACCTTAGGGGGAAAAGGTGGATAGTTTTGGATATCTGTAGTGTAAGTAAACAATATCCATCTGATGAAAATATAGAAAAGGAATCTAGAGAATACTGCCAGGTGCAAAGAATCAGGATATATATTAAGTTGCAGTTCAGAAGAATCTAGTCAGCTAATAGCCAGCACCAGATTGGTACTAGATAAAGTTCAATGGCATTCGGGGAGGGAGGGTGAACTTGGATCTTTTGTGGTAATGTGACAACTCTAAACTGATGATATGTTTAACTCTATCCCTCTAGCTCTGCTTTCTCTTCTCCTACAAATGCAAAATTTGCTGTGTTATATATTTATATATTAAAAATGAAAAATGCAATTCCTACTTCATATATTTTCTTCAGTAGTATGATATTATGCTATTTTCTACTGTACATTGGTAATTCTTGTAGTTCTTGGAGTTTAGTTGAATAGCTATTTTTGTCCCTTTTCTTCTTTGTTTCATGTGATGTATTTCTGCCGTTACAGAAATAACATTTCTTATCCTTACACATTTATTTAATTCATGCTGATACACTACATTCTTCTCACTTAAAAGAGAAATAACTTAGTGCACACAAAATCCTAATATAACACTTTGAATTTAAATTAAAAATGTAATACAGTAGTTTGATTTAATTAGTGTAAGATTTAAAAATACAATCAACTTAAGGAACCGGATAAGAAATGGTTTTCTCAGAATCTCATAAAGAAGAAAATATTACAAGACCTTTCCTATTTCTGCTTTGATTTCCATGCCTATTGAATCATTCCTAAATTTGTTATGTGTTTGGGTTGATTAAAACAAAAATATTGGAGTCAAGGCAGAACGATTAGATAAGAAAGTAAAGTTGCTGATTAATTGTTCTATAGCAAAACTAAGACAAAAATTATGTAAATTATTAAAGCCATGAGAATGCCATAAAATGTCCTGTTAAGGATTTGAAAATTGCATCCAGATTATTTTATATATAGAATATTTAATTATTTATAGTACAGAAAAATACATATATATGATTTCATATATTAGTTTCTTCACACGTCTTTAATTTAGAAAATTTAAAATAATGGAATAAGATACCTCTTACCAAAATGCATATTTAAAAAAAAAGGATTTGGATTGATTCGCACAGGGCCAGTCTGAACCAGAGATTGGCAAATCTGCCAAAATCAATTTCATATATTTTTCTCAATTTTCCATACCGAGATTTGTTGCATGAAAACGCACATGGATTTTTCTCTGTATGCAATTTGTTTTATACAATTTGACAAATAGACCTTTTCTCGTAATGTCATGTATTGTTATATTCTACATCCAGATGACCTGGGCTGATCTCAGAAATTAAGCACAATCAGTCCTTGAATATTGGACAGTCTGGATACTGCAGCCTCATTAACTAGACTAGGAAGTAGGCAAGTATCACAGAAGAAGGGAATGGCAAACTTAATGCTGCCAAGAAAACTGCATGGATTCAGTCTCCAGATTGTGAGTTTGAAACAAGAGAAGACCTCTTTATGACTTATGGACTTCAACTCCAATGCTGACTCAAGATTGAAACCCACAAACTCAGGTCATAAAGGAGCCATAGTATCCCATCCCTGGTCAAGAGTTTCCTTGTCTTTCTTTTCTTCATTCCCCAATATATGCATTTTCATGCCTTCCTGTTGGATTGAAATGCCCCAAATTGCATGAATACTGGTAGTTGGTCTTCTCGTATTGATTGGGAAACTGGGAATAAAATTAGGTTGCATAACAATGTGAACTTGTGGCTTGCCCACTTCTACTCTTATCTTTGTGGGAATTCTCTACCCAAGAGTACTTTTCCTGCAAATAGACTAAATAAAAACCTGTAGTTTATAGCTCCATTTTAAAAGGAGCCCATCATATAGCTCTCATCTCAAATCTGCATGACAGGAAGTGCTACCTTGAAATGCTCCATTTGCTGATGATATGGCTAATATATGTGGACAAACAGATATGCCAGTAGCATAAGGATTATAATGTGCTATAATGAAAAGATCTGCTTGTTTGCTGATGCTTTGCTTATTCTGATGGAGAAAAAAATACAGGTTTATGACAGTTTGGCTTTAGAAAGCACTTTAAAAAGGTGGCTGAGAGCCTAATATGAAAGCATAAAAAGACTTTCAAGCAAATCACATATAAGCTATTTTAACAGATACTAGTTACACATGAGTTTTAATGTCACTTCCAATTCCAATTCTCTAATTGCATCTTCTTCCCTGCCAAAACTTTTAAATAAATACTTCTTTACAGAAATGTGCAGAGTTCATGCGCTAAATTACCTGGTTTATCAAGAAGAGCTAGAAAAAGTCTACTAAAACATTTGGAATTCTGTAATTCAAACTGTGACCAAGCTGAAGCAAGGACTTTTTATAGTTGAAACAAACTAATATTTGCTTGCATGTATTTATTATCCATGGGTCCTAAGATATAAATATGATTTTTGTTATCTAAAAGTGCATCTTTTCTTGATTACAATGGTAGAATTTATATATATATATCTTCGGGTTATTCGGGTTTTCTCCTGCATAAAATTCAAAGTGTCTTGGCAATGTTTCGACGAAGTCTCATTCGTCATCTTCAGGCTGGTGTTTTCGGCTTCGTGCTTCTAGGAGCAATGTGTGATCACAGCTGTTTCTTCCTTTTAACTGCCAGTGGGGGTGTGAACTGATTGGGTGGGAGCTTGGCTGTGTTCTGATTGGGTGGAGGTGTGCTCTGCTTAGGTGGGAGCCTGGTTGTGCTCGAGTTAGTCTGAGTAGCAGGGGGACCTGAGCTGGTAAGCTGCATTGTTGCTGTTTGGCTTCGCGTTCGTAGTTGTGCCACATCTCCATGGTGGATGTCAGTTTGCTTCATGCATGGATTGGAGGGGTTTAAAGTGGTTAATGTTGCAGCTGTGGTCTGGCTTCTGCTTTGTGGTCGTGCCTCATCGGTGTGGGTTTGCTTTTTGTGTGGATGTGTGGTGGTGACATCCTGTGTGGTTTTCGTGAGTGTAGGTCTGGTGTCATTCTTTGTGTTAGGGACTCGTTTGTCAATAAGGGCAGGTTTCCAAATGGCTGGTAGGCAGGAGGTATCATCTCGTTTATTCATGCTGTGTGGACGTTTTTCTACCTCGATGGCTTCTCTGATTATTCTGTTGTTAAAGTGTTCAGTTTTGGCGATAGTTCTGGTCTTTTTAAAGTCAATATCATGTCCTGTGGCTTTGAGGTGTTGGACCAGGGAAGAAGTTGGTTCCTCTTTTCTGACTGAGTTCTTGTGTTCTTCAATGCATGCACTTATTCTTCTGTTGGTTTGTCCGATGTATGTGGTGGGGCAGGCGGTGCATGGGATTTCATATACTCCTTGATTTTCTAACTCAATTTTGTCATTGGGGTTTCTTAGGATGGTGGATATTTTTCGGTTTGTGCAGAATGTTGTCTTGATGTTGTGTCTGTGGAGGATCTTGCTGATTCCGTCTGTGGTGCCTTTTATGTATGGGAGGAGGGCTTTGCCGTTTTCTTGTTTTCTGTCTTGGATTTTAGTGGGGGTTTCTTTTTGGATTAGGTTGGTAATCTTAGTTCTTTGGAATCTGTTGGATATTAGTACGTTACTGAGAGTGTGTAGTTCGGTTTTTAGGTGTTGTTCATCAGCTAAGCATTTTGTTCTGGAGATGAGTGTCTTGGCTACTGAGTTGATCTGTGCTGGGTGGTGGTGTGAGAGTGCATGCAGATAGCGGTTTGTGTGTGTTTTCTTCTGGTAGATGGTGTGTCCTAGGGAGCCATTGGATTTCTTTTAGGCTAAGACATCCAGGAAGGGAAGTTGGTTGTTAGCTTCTGTTTCCATGGTGAAATATATTTTGGGGTGTAGGCTGTTGAGGTGTGTGAGGAAGTTGTCCAGTTTTTCTTTCCCATGTGGCCAGATTATGAAGGTGTCGTCTACGTATCTGAGCCAGAGTTTGGGTTTGTGATCAGATTTTTCTAGAGCTTGGGTTTCAAAGTGTTCCATGTAGAGGTTAGCAATGACAGGTGAGAGGGGTGATCCCATGGGTGCTCCTTCTATTTGTTTGTATTTTTGTCCGTTATAGATGAAGTATGTGTTGGATAGGCAGAGGTTGGTCAGATCTAGGATGTGCTTGGGGGGGTTATATTTGTTTTGGATAGCTGTCAAGGCTTCTTTGATTGACACTTGGGTGAAGAGGGATATGACATCGAAGCTCACGAGCAGGTCGCTGGGCTGTAAGTTTTGTTTCTTTATGATCTCTATGAACTGGAATTAGTTTTTTTACGTGTGAGTTGATGGATTCTGCATAGGGCTGTAGTTGTTTGGCGAGAAATTTGGCTAGGTTTTGTAGAGGTGAGCCTATGGAGCTGACTATGGGTCTAAGTGGGGTTCCTTCTTTGTGTATCTTGGGGAGACCATAGAGCTTAGGGCATCTGAATGATTTCTCTCTAGGAATGATTCTTTGCTGGATCTCTTCGCTGATGGGGGAGGCTTTTATTTTGGATCTAGTGGTTTCTGGTGGGATCTGTGTTTAGGGGTTTGTATGTGGGGTCTTGGAGTAGGTTGGTTAATTTGGTTTGGTAGTCAGATGTGTTCATAACCGCTGTGGCATTTCCCTTGTCTTCTGGTAGGATTATTATACTAGTGACTTCTTTCAGGTTAAGTAGTGCTGTCTGTTGCTCTTTGGGTAAGTTGCTTTTGGGTGGCTTGCTGGTGCAGAAGATGTTGGTGATTTCGAGTCTGATTCTGCT